CATCAGGTTTTACTGCCTCCACGCTGGCGACTCCCTGCCCTCTTCATCTTAGAGCTTGGACATCCGAGGCATTCCAGGGACAGAGCCCGACCAAGACCCAGGACCGCGAGCCTAGCTGTGACCCTCTAGCTGACACCCCTCCCCACATTTGACTACCACTTTGGGGCAAGACTTGCCATGTTTGGGGCCTGGCTCTTTTTCCTGTATCCCCTGCGTCACCGCCACTGCCCATCTCGTTGTCACTTTTGTTCTCCCCTTAATAATGTTCTGTGTTGGAAATGGGTTCGCCTCCTCCTGTGAAAACGGTCTCTCCCCCGCCCCTTAGATTCACTGCTCCCTTGGCCCTGCTGCGGGTCAGAGCCTGCCCCGGGGACTTGGCCCCAGCCCGGGGTTAATATCCGTTCTTTGCTCTTTCCATCCCAAAGGCTTTCCGTGTTTTGCCTTTCCTTGCGCCCTGTTTGGTTTCTGTTCACCAGAGGAGCCCCGAGAGCCAGCAAGGATTCCCTGGCATCTGCTTTCATTCCCTTGGCAGTGCTTCTGGTCCTTGCTTCACTTCCTGAACGCTCCCACCCCCAAACTGGGTCCTTTTCCTGCTCCCCAGGCCTGCCCTGGGTTCCATCTCCTGGTTTCTCCTTAGCTCCCCCATCGCCTGCTCTTGTCTCCTGAGTCTGGCTGGACTCTCAGGAGAGGTTTTGCTTCCTTCTGCCTTTCCCACCCTGCCTTTACTACCTACCTCTCAGGCACCCCATAGTTCCCTTCAAACCCACACGGTGCCCCCACCTGTCGGGGGTGGGTGGGTGTTTCTCCTTCAGCCCTCTGATCCCAAGTGGCATTCCTCCAGAGATGATGCAGCCTCTCAACTCTCCTTACTCTCCAGACCTAAAGGGACACCCTTCAGACGCCGAGGGCCCGATGTAGCCCTGCGCCAATGTGACGCGACTTTGCAGAGAACCCTGTGCTCAGGGTCAGCTGTGTGGTTCCTGGGTGCTAAAAGGACCGGGGTTTCTCAACTGGCTCAGGAGCTGGGGTTAGCTGTCTCTTCCTGCTCCTCCCCTGCCTCCCTTTCTGGCCCCAGTTCTCATCCCTCCTCCAGAACCCTACCTGAAGCTGGGGTCTGAGCCCCCAGGGTGGGAAAGCGAGGAATTGCTCTCTGCTAGACTCATTAAAACTCAGATATGTAACGATATGGTCAGGGCCTCCTGTCTTGCCACCCTGGCTGAAGGTGGCCGGCCGGTCATGTGTGTGAGCAGGGGCCTGAGATTCCCATACCTGGCCTATTGAAGCTGAAATGCAGTTAGGAAATCAGGCCCCTAGTTTGGTGTCCCACCCCCCCCCACCCCCTGCCAATTCTACATCTGTTGTTCTTTCATTAATTCAGCACACCTTTTTTTGGGGGGGGAGAGAGTTTTGTTCTAGGGCACGTACACTGGCCAGAAAGAGAGACAGAAAGCAAGAAATCACCTGCCAGAGGCATGGCCACGCTGCAATCCCCTCTTCCATTCTCCTCTCGGGATCTTGAGCACGCACGCACGCACACGCGCCTGGGACCACATCTCTTAGGGAACCTGCCCTGTGCTGGGTACCAGGCCCTGCCCCCACAGAGCTCCCAGTCCAGTGGGAGAGACAGACATTAATACAGTATTCCCACGAATAGTCCTACTCACCATAATTTGCAGTTCAGACATAATTTTCCTGGCCCGGTGATCAGCACCATGAAGTGCAGGAGTTTCGTGGTGGCGTGACAGAGATCTGTCGGTCTAGTGGGGGGGGGGGCGGGGGGGGACGGCCGGTGGGGT